CCCCCCCCCAAAGTCCAGAAAGTGTGTTGTTTTGGTGAGCTTAGGTAGCTGATGAGGTCTGAAGAGTGGTGAGTACCTGTGGTCACGTGACATTCATTCACGGCGCCTTTGTTATTGGGGGCAAATGGGGGTGGGGGGAGAATGGAACTAACTACACGAGCCCAGAGGTGACTTTCCATTGGGTTAGAGACAAGGTGACAGGAGGCAGGTAACATGTGCTCTGTTTTCCAGTGTTCAGGAATTCATGACCTTTACAAGTCAGCTGATTGTGGAGCGCTCAGTCAAAGGCAGCAGAGCTTCCGTCAAAGAACAAGGTGAGGAGCAGCCTTCTTCTGGGGTCCTCGATTGGCTGCCATCCCATGGGACAGTCCGCTCCCTTCTGCTGCCTGTGCACAGTCTGGGCTTCGTGGGAGAAGCGGTCCTCAAAGCTTGGATTCTCTTAAGATGAAGGTCTAACTCTTGGGTCCGTAAATGCCCTTCCTGCTGTATTTCCCACTTCCCTTCAGAGTTACAGGCCCGTCAGACAGGCATTTCCAAGTAGAGTGGTCTGATGCCACACTGCATCCTAGGGGCCTTAGGTTTTAGTTTTCAACTATGAATTTGAAAATCTGATTATTTTTTCTTTTCATAACTCCCATTTCCTGGAAGAATATTGGTGTTTATTTTAGAGGTGTGTTATACAGACAGAATAGGAAAGGTCCACGGGAGCTGTATGGAGCAGAGAGACTGCTTCCCACAGGGCTGCCCTGAGTCGGTGCAATGCCAAGTGGGACGTGGCAAGGCATTATTAAAACTGCCTCTTCTCTGGAAGATGCTTGTGTTGTTGATACTACATAAACGAAACAGCATGGCGAACGTTGAGGTACTCCTCAGGCCATGGTGTCTGCCCTGCCCAGTTTTTCTTTCCTCAGACACAGACCTCAGCCTCCCAGTTTCTATGGAGTTGTGTGCATGTGTCTGATGACTGTTTGAGTTTACGTACTTGGAATGTAAACGAGGCCTGCCGGGGATTGTTGATAATCTTCTAATGTCCCTCCTCCCTTGGTTCTGTTCTAATCTCTACCTTTTTCTGATTTAAGAGATTTAGAATCGTTTCCCCTCCTCTTCTGTTAGCTCCCTTTTCAGCAATGGAATATTTTTGATCCAGTTCTTAAGGACAAGAAGATTATTTTTGTTTGGAAATATGGTTATTAACTGAATCCTTTCAAAGTAAGGAAAATGAACAATTCCAGGACTGTGAATAGGAGTTGGCTTCAAAAAGTCTGTGGAAAAATACCATTATCTTTGAATTCCATTTTTCCATGATCTTTTTGAATCACCGTCATATTTTGCAGAAGCCCTTCTACAGACTGTACCTTTTAATGATATGATGAGAGGAACCCTAGTGTTCTAGTGGGTGTTGGATCAGCTGGGCTGCTAACCACAGAGTCAGCGGTTCAAACTGACCAACTGCTCTGCGGGAGGAAGAGGAGACTTTCTGCTCCCATAGGGATGTTTGGCCTCGGAAGCCCTACAGAGGGAGGGCCTCTATGAGTTGGACTCCACTCAGTTGCAGTGGGTTTGCCAGCAGTGGCTGATACTGGCTTTATCTGTCTGTCTGTCCGACTGTCTTTGGAGCAGGCTTGAGCAAGGTTGCTGTAGCATGGAAACCTGAAGCCCGGGAAAGTGATTCCATTTTTTTTTGCCACTCTGTAAGCATTTTATAACAAAGTGGAAGCTGTGTGTCTGCCCAGGTTCTCGCTGAGTTTGGCCACAGTGCAGACCAGAGCGTCTGAGGTTTGTGGTCCTCTGAGGCCCATCCGGCCTGGCCTCACGGATGCTGCTTGGAGACCCACTCAGGGATGAGTTGGCCCAGTGGGTGTTCTCAGACGTGCAGGCCTCAGAGAATCTGCTGGTGCAGAGCTGCTTTGGGGCCAGGCTGACAGCATTCTGGTGTGCCCTTCTGTGGGACCTCTGCCAGAACCTGGCCCCCAAACGTCATTCCCAGATCTTTCCCTAAGCTTTTGGATGTCAAGGTGGCTGCATTTAGTCCAAAAGGCAGGAGCCCAAGATTGTGATACTTTTGCTAGTTCTTAGTGGTTTAAAAAACATTTAAGAAAGTCTAAAGGCCCCGTGTGACCATCCTTGTGTTCAATTTCTTGCTGTTTAGAGTACCTATGCCACGTCTACGTCCGAAACGACAGCCTCGCAGGTGTGCTCATTGCCGACAGTGAATATCCTCCCCGGGTAGCTTTTGCTTTGTTAGATAAGGTAAGTTTGTGTCCAGCTGGGCTAGATTTGGGCAAGCTAAGTGGGGATATTAGTAGACTCTGGTGTCGGGGTGCCCATGGTACCGAGTCACAGTATATATACACTCCTGTGTACTGTAGACTTTGTGTCCAAAATCAACACATTCCCAGCTGTTCTCCCTGCCCCTAAACAAGAAACATTTAGGCGTTCCTTTTCTGTCTCCTCTGTGGTGGTGACTTCTGCCCCTCAAACTGCCTGTAGACAGACCTTCACTGTCCTCCCCTCTTGTCTCTCTGCCACTGAGTCCCACAGTGTCTCTTCACTGGAAGTGAAGCTCTGCATACACCTTCTTGTGTTCTTCCTCTCCCCACCACAGCTGATGCTCCTGTCCTTCCTGACACCTGCTGCTGCCGGCTTTACAGTTGGCCTTGGGGGCACCCTGCCCTCTGCCAGGCTGTGTCTGCACAAACCAGTGTCCTCTCTCCCTGAGTGTCCTCGTACTGACTCTGCGAGGCTCACTTTTTCCCCGGTGCTCCCACAGTTATTTTAGCTCTCTTTCTGGGTGCAAGTCAGCACCAAAGAGCTTAGCACTGGGCTAAATGCTTCTGGCTGAAGTGTCACAGGGCGGGTCAGTGTTCCACTGAACATCCATATACTTTCTGTTTCATGTTGTTACTCCCACAGTGTGACTCACAGTGTGACATCATTTCCATTCCCCCTGTGTTCCTGACCTCTAACCTTCTAGACTTGGGCCTTGCACAGGTGCTGCCCTCTTGATCTTGAGCAGTTGGTTGCCTAAGGAGTGCTTGCCCCATTGTTGGTGCCCTTACAGACCTTTCTCTTGTGTGGTTGAGAACTAAGCCACAGGAGTAAGTTCAGTTCCAGGTGGCTTGAATGTGGTTTTGGACCACGTTGGTGGCTAAGGACCATGGTTTTGGGATTCCACTTGGGGCTGTGGGTTAAGGCACTGGACTACAAAGTCAGATTGGACCGCAAGGTTGGTGGTTCAAGCTCACCAACTACTCCTCAGAAACCTTATGCAGGATCACTGTGGGTTGGAACCAACTCAACGGCCCTTAACAACAATAGTAACTATTTGGCCAGTAAGCCTAGTCTTTCATTTTTTTTTTTTTTTAATTTAAAGTTTTTACTGTGAATTGACTGAAAGCTTACAGGGCAAACCATCAGTTTTACATTCAGCACATCATACTTAGCTTCATTGGACAGATAACGATCCCCTCCATGTACCATCAGCTAACAGTGTTTACCTCTAGTCCCTTATATCTCTATTTTGATGTACACATATAAAAACATACACAGATATTCTTTTAAACGTCCAAAGGGCACGTGATAGAAACCAGCCTCCTGCACGCAGCACACAGCCTTTCTCAGCCCGTGAGCCTAGCATCCACAGCTGCACTCTCTCCACGCCATTGCCTCTGCCATCATCTCTGTTGTCACCACTTTTCTGGTTAGGATCTTACGCTCCATTCATGGTCTTCCGTCTTGAGGTCCTAGTGTCCTCTGTTCCTGAAATGAAAGATTAACTACAACCACCTTTTAGTTACACGTCTTCTACATTTCCTGTTGTGACAATCGCAGTTAGTTCTGATAATAGTTACTATCAAACCATAAAATCCTCCCCCCATCTTCTGCCATCTTCCCCCATCCTGTTTCACCAGACCCATCTGGACAAAAGGAAAACTATTCAGTGAGGGTTCTACCTTACTCCCCTCACTCTGAAATTAAGCTCACTCATGAATGCTTGTAAGCCAGCCACATCATGCCTTTGTAGCCCCCCATCTTTGATAGCCAGTGTCTAAGTTGCCAATCCCTATTAATCCAGTAAAGCCTGGTCTTTGGTATGATTTTGAGTTTGGGTCCATATTTCTCTCCCACTCTTATCCAGGACTCATCACAGACTCCTTGAACATTGAGTCTTTGTCTTGTTCCGCACATGAAATCTTGTTGTTGTTATGTGCCGTCGAGTCGGTTCCGACCCATAGCGACCCTGTACAGGGTTTCCGAGGGTGTAAATCCTTACGGGAGTAGAAAGCCTCATCTTTCTCCCGCGGAGCGGCTGGTAGTTTCGAACCGCTGACCTTAAGGTTCACAGCCCGATTCGTAACCACTACGCTACATAGTGGTTGCTTAAATTTCCAAAGAACTAGTTCCCTGTCCTGGTGTGATGCTGTAGAATAAGCACTAGACTGCTAACCACATGGTCGGCAGTTCAGACCCACCAGCCGCTACTCTGAAACCCTGCACAGAGTCGCTGTGAGTCAGAACTAACTCGATGGCACTTATCAACAACAACAATCCCTGTTAGGAAGACCTGCTGTGGAAAACTAGAGGGTAAGTGCCCCTTTTCCTGGAAATGTACAACCTGACACACAGAGTTTGGAACTATGCTGTTGAAAATTCAAAGAGCTTTATCATGCCCTGGGTCAGGCTCATTTCAGCCTGGCTACACTTCTGAATTCCCAGAATACTTAGCAGATGTTTTAACGATTACAACTTTGTGGAAGGGGAACTAGCCTAAATTTCCCCCTTGCCAATGGAACTCTACCCTGGGCTCAGGGTGGGCTTGCTGATGGGGCCCCTTGTCTTGCAGGTGCTGGATGAATTCTCCAAGCAGGTTAACAGGATAGACTGGCCAGTGGGATCCCCTGCTACAATCCAGTACACTGCCTTGGATGATCACCTTCAGAAATACCAGGTGAGATTGAAAGGAATGCGGTGTGGTGAGGACTGTGTGCCCTGTGTGAACGGAGGTCCCCGGCTCTCTGTCTTGAGTCTTCTAGGTGACAGATGCAGAGAGACTGAGGATGCTGCCGTTGGAGGTGGGCTCTGCCTTTTCCACAGACGGTGCCTTGTTCCCTCTCAGGGCAGTTGCTCAAGTCCTGATTCGTTCTTATTTTTGGTTCCTCTCTAGAACCCACGAGAAGCTGATCCCATAACCAAAGTGCAGGCTGAACTGGATGAGACCAAAATCATTCTGGTAAGCAAGAAATGAGTGGAGCAAATTGGAAGCCTGAGGGCGCATAAGGGACTTGCCATAGATCCAGCATGCAGAGTTGAGGTTTGTTTTGTCAGTTACAGAAGCCCTTTTCTGAAACTGGTGATGGTGTGCCTCTCCCGTGCCCCAGAGCCCTTAAGCCCTGACCCCACAGGCAGTTCAAGGTTGGCTACTCCTCCCCGCGTCCATTTTATATCTGGATCAGACTCTGAGCACGTTGTTCTCACTACAGAATCTCGCACCTGAGCATGGAGTGGGGTGGTAGGGAGCCCGCCAGAGTGTCTGCACTGTGGGAGTTGTTTCTGGTGACGGAGGTCCAGTGCCACCAGGGAGACCAGCTTTACATGGAAGCTGACATTGCCCAACTTCGCTACAGTTGGCAAGTGGTCAGCTGTCCACTTTGCACCTTGTACGTAGGCCCTTGTGGTCTTTTTCTGAACACTCAGCCTGACCCTTGCTGTTTGCCCGCCCCTAAGGTCAGTCACCATTGACTGGTCATGCCTCTGCATGAAATCTGTCAGTGTTGATGGAAACTTCTAGAGATGGGTGGTGTTGCGCAGGCTGAAAGTCAGTGTCGTAGTGGGTACTGCTGTAACAGACGTGCCACCACCAAGTGTGCCCCTCCCTCACCGTTCTGGAGGTGCCCACTCTCGGGAGGTCCCTGGGTGCGCTCGCTGTGGCCTGGCAGCAGGCTTGCCCTGGGTGTAGAAAGTGCCCAGCACAGGTACCTTGGGTCCCAAAGACCCTCTCTGCTCCCAGCTTGCTTTCTTGGTGGCACTGGGGTTCCTCTCGCGGCCGCTTCTCTCTCCCTGAACTCTTGTAAGAACGATGGTGGCGCAGGTCACACCTCTTTACATCGGCTCGGGATCCCCTCACACCGGGGCTGTGACCTGAAGAATCCCCTCACTGATGGAAAGACCACTGAGGGTCATGGTCCAGCCAAGTGGGTAGAGAGTTTCAGGGCACAACTCACCTGGGGCAGTCATGTTGAACTGTGTACTTGCACTTGGTCAGGATAGCATGAGCTTTGTTAAATGTATTTGACCACAGTGGGACTTTAAAAAGAAGAAACAACACATCAGTGAGCTGGAGCGGTGGAAACAATGACTCGATAGCTTTTAGATCAGCTGCACTGTCAGGTCTGGACCTGCTCCCTGCGCCCTCTTTCCTGACAGGCCCTCGAGCCTCCGTAGTTACTGTTGCCTCTGTGTGAGTGATTGAGGAGCTCCTCCTGCTCCCTGATGCCAGGCCTCACTTGGACTCCTCAGGAATTGACTGAGACAGAAATGAATGGATGGCAGGCCAGCCCCCAAATGCCCAGCAGAAGTCCCACCGCAGATGCAAGACTTTCCTGGTGGCACTCAGGCTAAGCTGTGTTGGTCTGTGCTGCAGCTCCTTGGGGGGCTCACTGGTTCGGGGCAGGGCTCAGGAATCTGCGTTCTATAAAACATCCAGGTAGAGGCCTCTGGACCATGTATGATTAACAGGACTTTGGGCTTTAGGGCTGAAAGTTGGATGTGAAGATTTTAGATGTCTGTCTGTCATGAACTTCCTTACCACTGAGCTGGTATTTCCCTCATTTTCTGAGCACACTCTCATCTCTTCCTTCCACCGTGTGAGAATCATACCTTGTGCTCTGTACAGAGCCTGGTGGGCCTCCCTGTTCCCTTAGGCTTTGCGGTTTCCACCATGGAGGGCCCATCCCAGCTGCAGGGCTGAGATCCACACTTTGATCATGCCCCGCATGGCTCAGTCTGACTGCTCTGCTGTGTCAGGAAAGTACATTTTGCTGCCTGTTCGTGCCGCGCCACGTCACACGTGCTTATCCATATGTCTGGCTGTTTGCTCTCAGAGGGCTTGGAGAGTCTCAGAAGGGCTCTCGTGCTGTGTGGGTGGTGGTGGGGATCTAGAATGGAGCGCGTCTATGGGTGCTGCTGTGTGCCCTCAAGCCAGTGCCGACCCAGCAACCCTTTATAGGACGCCAAGGCTGTGAATCTTGTCAGGAACAGAAAGCCTCATCTTTCTCCTAAGGACTCCTGGTGTTGCACTGTAGTGTGAACACTGGACCGCTAATCTCAAGGTTACACAGGCTTTCTGTGAGTCAGAGCCAACATGTGTGTGACATTTGTGCCATGGTCTAGGAGTCTTGGGGAGGGGTCCAGAGGGGTGATTTCCAGGACTCAACATTCTGGGAAGCCAGTGTCGGTCACTGGTCACATGTTGAACAGACTGAAGAGTTCTTCTCCGTCTCTCCTTTGTCTAGCACAACACCATGGAGTCCTTGTTGGAGCGAGGAGAGAAGCTCGACAATTTGGTGTCCAAGTCAGAAGTGCTGGGGATACAGTCTAAAGCCTTCTATAAAACTGTGAGTGCTGGCCCGGTCCTCCACTGCGAGGCCCTGTGGCAGGAGGCTGGGCTCCAGGTCCACGGTGGTGATAACACCAGGTCCAGAGAGACAGGAGGGTGGCCGGTGTGCGTAGGCACCGTTACCACCCATCAGACCTGCTGCTGCTTTCAGAGCAGACACCTCTGCCCAGCACGGGCCAGCTGGGCTCACTGCTGGTTGCTGGGCTGATGGAACTCTGCAGATACCAGTGATTTAGACTTTAGTTAGACACCTGCTGCGGCACTATAGGATAAGCACTCAGCCACAAGGGCTGTTTGGACCTCAAGGTTGGCGGTTCAAACTCATCCACAAGTGGATGCCCCTTTGACAGTGATGTTTAATGGTGAGGCTGATTCTGTCCCCCGGGTCAGTACTAATGAGTGTAGGCGAGTCAGTCCTGACTCACAGCCACCCTGTGGTTAGCAGTCCAGAGATGACCTTACAGTGCCATACCGGCAGTAGGGGTGGGTTTATTTGATCCATCTGCATTTGCAGTGAAGGAAGATAGCCAAGTAGGGTTTGAGGTGTAGTTGTGGCCGGGGTGTGGGGTGGGGGGCTGCCTACCCTGGTGATGCCCTTTCTCCAGTGCACACAACTGTTGGAGGTGCTTACAGAGAGCAGGGTGGAGGTGGGCAGAGAATTTTGAAGACAGGAGTGGAGGCACGTAGGGGATTCCGCCAATTCAGTGTGAACTGTTATTTCTACGAACTCATGGGTTCTATTGCCATGGGGCTGTAGGAGAAGCCGCTCCTCGGAAACCCTACACAGGGTTGCTATGAGTCAGAACCGACTCGGCCGCTCTCAACAACAACCACAGTAGTTAGTGTTCATGGGTTTAGGGCTCTCGGAGTCCCATTGAAAACCTGAGCTGGCTCTCCGAGTAGGGCCCCGGCAGTGGAGTTTCCCCCTTCAGCCTGTGGAGTGGATTCGGGGGTGCGGGGGGGTGGGCACTCCTGGGTCACCCTGCCTTCTGGATTCCAGCTCTTCAGCTCCTGTTTGTTTCTTACAAGGCCCGGAAACAAAACTCGTGCTGTGCGATCATGTGATGTCAGAGGCCCTGCACTGGACACGTCGCTGTCACGACAAGAACTGTGGAACCCCCAGAGAAGTTGTCACAGAGCAGGACCCTAGCTGGAGGCATCTCTTCATTTGTCCCATTGGGGGTTTCCCAGGAAACTGAGGAGGGTGGTGGAAGGGGTCTGATAGGTAAGGGAATGTTCACATTTATATGTCGAGTTATAACTTCTGGAAAGATCATTTGAGGCCATCAAAGGCATTGTTCGGGACCAAATGAAACCATAAACTCTCAGTGACTCACAGATGCTGAAGGGCTAAGTTTCCAGACCCCATTTGCCACCCTCAGAAGCCCCCGACTTCAGCAGTGCCATAAGGCCCGAGCCCTTCTCTTCGGGCCTCTCTGTGTATTATTAGCAGTAGGAGAGCGTCACTCCCCAGTCAGGGAGGGCCTCCAATTACAGGGCTGGGCTGGGCTGAGCTTGAAGACCACCTTCCCTCAGGGGTGCCTCTAGGCCACAGTGGTGGGCCAAAGCCAGGCTGTGGGACCTGTGTCCTGAGGGGCAGCCACTTAGCATTCCATCCCAAACCGTGTGGTCACCCAGTATCACAAAGGTGACTGCAGTGGAGGGGGCTGAAGACGCTGGCTGTTGCCACATGTGCATTAGCCTTGCAGCCAGCACGTTAGGTCGGCCTAGGAAGACGGACGGGGTGGTTTTCAGTGTTTGGGATGCTCGGATGAAAGTCATCCTCTGGGGATTCCAACCCAGTGGTCTTGGAGCTGCCCAGGTGGCATTTGCCTCGAGCTGTCATTTGATTGTACCTTGAACATTGGATCAAAGCAGTGTGTCTAAGCCAGTTTTCCTTTGCCTCCCAGCTACCCAACTGCCTCAGCAAGTACTTGGGGCGTGGGGGTCTTCACAGGAGGGAAGGCATCTCCAGCTTTCATGTGTCCTGCTCTTTGGCTCAGGAGAAGGGCTTCCTGGCCTGAGAGCCCTGCTGCGGGCTTGCTCTGGGTCCCTCCTGGCAGTGGCAGCTATGAGGGTGGGGTCTGCACCCTGGGGCTCAGAGGCCCGCCTCAGAAGAGAGGCTGAGTGTTCTGCCCATTCCATGCTCTGCCCTGCTTCCAAGGATGGGCTCACATCGTACCTTCAGCGTCCTACCCTCAACAGTTTCTGCTTCAGGAAATGGTGCCGTCTCACCAAATCTGAGCTTGTTTCCTGTGATACACTAGTTCCTGGCCACCTGAGAGGGCAGCCAGCCTTCAGGGAGTGGGCTAGGACCCTGGGCTCCCTACAGCTGACCTGCCATAGGCCCTCTGGGTACTCTGCTGGCTACAGGCCTCTGGCTGGCCTGTGTGGTTTTCCTACCACCATGAGGCCCCTTCAGGGCTGGATACCTCTGCCTCTTCTTACCGGGAAAGTGATGGAGCCAGCCTTGCTCACTGGAGTCCTGGTGCCTGGCAGGTGCAGGGCCCACAGGAGTGAGGAGCTGTTTGCCCAGCATCTGGAACAGTGGAAGGTGCTGGAACTTTGCCACTCTGGGAACCTTCAAGCTCCTCTTCCTCAGATACAGGGGCTCTGAGCTCGCCTTTAGCTCTGGGTGGGGTTCCAAGCCTGGCCTGCATCCAGGGGCAGAAAGGAACAATGGCTCCCACACCAGGGAGGAACACAAAGGGGGTAAGGTGGGATAGGGGATGTAAATTGTCAGGATAAAGACCTTCAGCCATATACTGTCCTTGACATCAAGTTTATGCCTCTTGGGTGGCCTGGGTGGGGGCTGCTCCCTGGATGGGGGCTTGCCTGTGACAGGGCCACTCTAGAGAGGTGGTCTCTTGTATGCTAGCCATTTAAGCAGAGTGTCTTAACTGCTGCTTGCCTTTGCTGTGGTGTTTGAGGTTCTTGTCTGATAAAGCTGTCTTTAGAAATCCCCGTTTGGTTATATGGCTTTTGTTGGCTGGGCTTTTTAAGGGACACCCTTCCAGAGCCTCACTGCTGGCTACAGGGCATGCAGACACCCGGATGGAGGCAGGGGGTTGGTCACCTGGTCTCTGGCAGCTGTTAGCCAAAGTGAGCCCTGGAGTAAGAGCCAAGTTCCCCGGTAGAAGCTTCACCCAGGAACCCAGAGAAAATTGCTGCCCAAGGCCTGGACCAGCTGCCCAGTAGGCTCAGACTTCAGTCCAGAACCTGATCTCATATGGAGGACAGGACTGAGCTGGCTGCCCATGAACGGGGGGTAAAAGCAAAGCCTGCCTCCTGTGACCCCTGCCTGGTGGGTCCATTAGATCCGTTCAGGACTGAGAGTCTGGCTTGTTGGAATGCGATTCGAGGCCAGTGGCCCAGACAACCCGTGTTGCATGAGGGAGGCTGCCAGGGACCCAAGAGTAGGCCAGAGTGACTCCCACCTTGTCTAGTCTGTGAAGACTGCAGACATGTGAACACAAGGACTCGACCAATTCCAGAGCTTGGACCCTCAAGCCCAGAGGACAGGGCAGGGATAGTGCCTGTCCACCCCTCTGCCTTCTGTGGGCACCTAGCCTGGAAAGGCTCCTTGGGCTGTGTCTGATTACAGCAAGTGGAGCCTGGCCACAGCACTGCCCGGGATGAGATAGCCCCGCCTTGACCTGTACTGGCTTATATGTCCTGCAGCAAGCCTCTGACTGGGTTGCACTCCCAGGGCTGACCCTGAGGCCCCCGAAGTGTGAGCACGTCCGAAGAGTGTCATGGAGGCTGCTAGGGCTTTGCCACTCAGGGCATCCTTCAGGCCCATGCCCCAGATAGAGGAGGTCTAGGAGTGGTTAGGAACCCCCTAGGAATGTAGTCAGGAATGGGATAGGCCGTTAGCAGGCCGAGATGCTCTGAGCAAGGAAGGGCAGCACTGCCTCAGCTGTCCCTGATGGCTGGGGTGTTCCTGAGGTCTAGTTGGAGGGAGGTGGCTCCCGGGGGTGACAGGCCAGGGCACAGATGGTGGGCAGGGGGTGGACAGCCACTCCTGCTCTAGCCTTTTGCACAACCTTGGACCTTCTCACCCTCTACTTCCTCTCGCTCCCAAGCTGCCCTCTGCCTGTCCACCTCCCGTTTCTGGTTCCCGTGCACTCCTGTAGCCCACCTGGTGGGTGTGAGGCACAGGCTCTCATGGAGGTGTGTGGTGGGTGCTGCTGCGGGAGGCTGAGGCTGTGGCAGAGGACTGGAGATCGGAGATGAGCCGGCTCAGCTGTGCAGTACGGAAGCCTCACCTCCCCTCACTCAGCCCTTCACTAGGGACCTCAGGACAGGAGTTCTGGGCCCGAAGCAAAGAATGGTCGGCAAGTCTCGTCACAAACCACCTCACTGCATCTGGGAAACAGTTTGTCCTGTTTTCTGTTTTATTTGCAGTTTCCCGAGACAGAACAAAAGAATTTTGTACACTTACAAGGCTCAGAAAGAAAAGAACGATAAAACAGCAAAAAGAAGGGTGTAAGGTCTGCCGGCATTGGCGGCAGCAGTGAGCTCCGCACGCCCCCGCAGCCGGGAGGGCCACGCACGGATACCTAGCAGCAAGGCAGGGTGTAGTTCTCCACAGGGATCATGCAAAACAAGTGTCCCCCAGGGTTAAGCGAAAACAAAACCGAAATCGAAAACAAGAAACAATGATCCCAGCAGTAACCATGGGAGCAGTGGCAGCTCCCCGGGCCCAGGGTTTCAGGATCAGGGCCCCTGGAGATGTTTACCCTGTGTCCACAGAGGGAGGGGCAGCCTGGGCACTGGCCACCCTGAGCAGACCATGGACAGCACAGTGGGCATCCACTCAAGTGTGGAACCCTGGGCCTGCTCATTGCTCCGTGTCAGTCCCTCCGCTTGAGTTGTGGGGGCAAAAATAAAAGTCCTAGTTGAAAAACGCAACCTGAATTGGTAGTTGGTGTTGGGCAGGATCCTCCCCCAGGCCTGTTCCTCACTGTCCCCTCAGCTGGCCAACACAAAGTGCCCACCCACAAGAGCCCCCGGAAGAAACTGCTCGCAGGGCTACAGACGGTGTGGTCATGGAGACAAGACTGCCCCCACCGGCTCACCTTGTCTCAGACCACACCGGCCATTATCCCGGTTCTTGGGTCCTGCTCCCAACAAGCCAGACTAGGACTCCCTTGGGTTCCCAAAGGGACCTAGCCATGAGTCACAGTCTTGTTCCTGCTCACAGCCTGCCTTCTTGCCCATTTTTTTGGTCCCTGCAGGCTCACGTTCCGTTCCATCAGGGCCCCAACTCTGCGTGCTATTGGACTACACTGGGGAGCAGCCTTCCCCGCTAATTCCTGCCCTGAACCTCGTGTGCTGTGCTCCAGGGTCTCCAACCTTGGCTTTGAACAGCTCCAGGTGCTCCCACCTCCACTTCCAGGCCCAGATACCACGCACACTCCTACTTCAGAAAACCCCTGTCCAGACACAGCTTCAACCCACAGCCACCTGTCTCCATACCTGTCCACCCTCCGGCTACTTCCTGCACCATCCAACACGAGTCTGAAATCCTGCTGCCCCGCCATCCCAAACACTGCCCGGCCTCTCCTGCTCAGCAAGGCATGAGTCCTACAGCCCTTTCTCATAACTGCATCCAGGTGGGGACGAGGCTGACCAGGAGGCCAGGCCAGAGGAGGGGGAGGCCCTAGGCAGAGGCCCCCTCCCCATGGTGGGCATGTCAGATACAAAATCTGGAACTAAAGTGTACCACGCCCTGCACCTCATTGGGCCCCTGGCGCCTTGTGTTCTGGGTTGGTCTTGAACGATAGCCCTCAGTCACTTCTGGTCTCCTCCCAGAGCATCTCCTCCCAGAGCAGTGGCATCCACGGCGCAGCCAGGGATGCTAGCTCCAAAGGCTGAGGCTGGTCTGGCTCTTTGCTGGCGTGCGTCATCCATGTTTGGGTATGGGAATGTGGGCACAGAAGGAAGCCTGCACCCATCCCTTAACAGGGTAAAAGGACGATGGGCAGAAGGGGGGGAAAAGCAGGAACAGCAACTCTCAGGCACAAGTAGCAGGGAGAGTGGGGTAGGCCCAGAGGGAGGCC